AGATTTCAGTGGTGGACCCCTATTAGTTCATTTCTGTGACTTCAGCATTTGAATCACAGAAATGTAATCTAGGTTCCTTTCAGCACCTGTAATTCAGTTGCATGAGTCATTGAAAAGACTAGACTTGTATGTATTTTCAAGTGAATTAGTCTTCTTATCTAATGTATGTGCATAAAAATGGTTTGTCTGCATGTTTTTTGCACATTTCATATCACAGATTTTGTGTGCTCCTTCATTATTGCAGTTGTGTAATGTTATTATGTAATTTGGGTGCCCATTTTTATAAAATTGAAATATTCTGATTCTGAACATGTATCCTCCAACAGCATTTCTTATACATGCTGTATAATGGGAGGAAAAGGAAGATTACTGGTTGCTTTAAATACTCGATCGTAGATTAGAACAGTACTAAGAAATAGGGGTTAATATAAAGTGGACATTACAACAAAAAACATTTAAAAAAAGAAATAATATCACCTCCTAAAGCCCCACTTCATTCTCTTACACACATCTGGTACTACATTGGTCAGAACTAGCCTGGATCCTTTACACTCCATCACTGGTTAATCAGAGTCGAGATAAGGCGCCGTGAATCTGCTCAGTAGATGAGTGAGATGTGACGACTGACTGAGTTCACCTCATTATGGAGCCCACCAACCTCAATTTGTACTTTATCCATATTAGTTACATCAGCTTTTGTGGCGCTGACACATTCGCCTCGGAAGAATATCTGAATAGGAGACATTTTTCTGAGTCTGACTTTCAAACACAAAGACAGAGACGTTGCTACGTGACCAACGGTCTGCATTTAAGATCGCATGCACCGAGAGGAATCATTAATCAGGGTTTAATCCTGAGAAAATACAAATCCCACCGCATGGCGTATCAATGTGTCTCTATGGAATGCAATATGTAGAGGAGGATGTTACACTATTATCTGCGTGCTTGCGCCCAAAATAATTTTCAAAGCGTTTAACTTGAGATTATGAGTAACATAAACCAGGAATCCTAATTTATGCCTGACAGGTGCAAGGGTCAAAATCTGGTCTGTATCCATCAAATTGAGAAAGAAAAAAAAAAAAAAACGAATGCTCCCAGGTACCAGAGAATCTGCAGCAATATAGTAGGACTGGTTTGAAAAATTGATACTGGGGGTTATTACTTAAGGCCTTCCTCCAGAGACTCAGAAATCAACTGGAGCCCCTCTAAGTCTGTAACAGACAATTTATGGTGCAATGTGTTTTTTTTCGTTGTTTTTTTTCTCTGTGAACATCTGACAGGCAGTGAGATTTAGAGCTGGAATATACTTGCAGAGATTTAAGGTGACAAACCCTGGTAGAAACAGACAGCTGAAAGAATGTTTTTACAATTACACTGTTAATAATCATAAATCATATCAGGGGACCTCTTGATTAACTGTTTAACCATCTCACAATTGACCAGTGCTGTCCACACATACAGAAGCAGAAATAGTGATAAGATAAGAGGGGAAAACTAATGCAGCCAGATCAATCTAGGACCCATGATCAGGTCACACCTGATTAAACAACATGGATGGATCAATCTCCATTTTCTCCGGTGACCAATAAATTGTAATCACAACCAACTTCCCCATTACCTCTTTGTTTGTTGTATTCATCAGTTTGGGACCTTTCTCTCCCTGAGTCAATAGCCAGAGCCATCTGTGTGGGAGGTTGGGGGGGGGGGGGGGACGACTAGAGATAAACAGCCATAAATCAGGGGCTTGACGGTGGCAGCGCTGCTGATATATGGCAGGCAAGCATGAGGGCCGTGGCAGCCAATCCCTGGGCCCAGAAGCTCTGCGAAGGACACAGCCTAAGACAAATACTGGGCCTATCTGTGGGAATGGCAGCCAGTGAAATCATTATTATTCTAATGAGATAAGTTGGCCATCGTTAGAGGCAGCCGCTACACTGATGAATCAACACCAGAAGAGTATGTTTAGTCTGAGGCCATGACACGCAAGGTGGAGGTGTTCCATCTCTGTCATGGAACAAAGAGAGAGTAAGGAGTGGGTGAGGAGACATTGTGTAGAGTGGAGTCATTAATAAATGAGAAAGGAATGAAAATGGCGGAGGCTTTAGAAATTGATTCTTAAAACATTGATTCTTCACTGGCCACTAAGAGCTTTCACACCTCTGAGGGCTGGGTTAAGCTAGAAATGAACTGATTTGTTCTGCGTGTCATCTTACCATATCTCGAGGCGAGTGTTTATAGCTGTTTCGAACAGCCACACTTGAAGGTGGGGTGATCTCCATAAATCTAGCCAATTGTTGCTTCAAGTGGGTGTAAATGTTGGATTCAGAAAGTTGTCGAACACAGAAAGGTGTTTTTTATGGGGTTTCTGAGGCTCATGGAGTATAGCGACAGCTTTAGGCCATGTTTTCTACTTCTACTAGTTACTGGGTAAAGTAATTTTATTACTATTATTATGACTAGTAATGCGTGCTGCTCAACCCTGCCGACAGTATGCCCATATCACCGCAGCCCCTTGAATTTGCTATGGTAACAAGTACTGAAGTCAACCTCATCACTCCCTCTTCACCTATCCTGTCCTCGCCCCAACTTTAGATAACAAACCAGCACTGCGCCATCAATCCAAGACTGGGAGCCAATCTGAAGCGCCCCTCTGCAACTTAACACATGGGCTCATTCATCTATCTACCTAGCTGTCCCCAGTTCAAAGGCTTGGACAAATAGCGGTCAAATGTGACGGCGTCTGAGGAGCATCTGCGACCGTGGCCGAGCTCCTGATGTGGAGTGACAAGGGCGGCTCATTTTTCTGGGCCTGCTGTGCTCTTAATGGCTTCTCTGACAGAGGCTTCGCTTCAGTCAGCGTTAGTCAAACAAAGGCCCAGTCCCCCAAGGAGTCCCTGGCATCAGCCTGATGGATCTGATGGATCGTTGGATCACACAAGACCCTGACAAATCAGACCCCTGTGTCAGCTCTGACTGCTAGGCTACTGTGTTCTAGGGAAGCAATGAAGACATTTTGGGGAATAGGAGGCTGGCTAAGAGAAAAGGTGTAAAATAGAATGTGGGGAAGAGGCAGGAGAAGGTAAGGCTGGAAAAGGAGCAGAAAGAAATAGTGAGAAGAAAGTAAGGGAGGCTTCAATCTTTCGATCTCCATCGCTTCACCCTCTGGCCTTTAGCAGCCATCAAAGACCTCAGGGAGGTCCTAATGAGGTGAAGACCACCAGCACATCATTCAGTCTCACATACTTGCATCTCTTTCTCCCCTCCTACTCTGAATCTTCAGAGTAGAAGAAGAAAGGGAAACATTAGTCTAGTTTGCATGTTCTCTTGGCTTTATCAGATCAGATGCTGCCTCTGCTCTGCTGGAGGCCAGATGAAAGCACAGACACCAGCTTAAGGTTTAACCCAATGACCTAGTCTCAGTAGTACAGTGTGGTATTTCACTCTTTACCAAGCAGATCTAGATTCCCAGGGCTTTCTCTGGCTCTCTACAGTCC